TCCAGATTGTAAAGAGCCCATTGGCTGAATTACTTTGTTAATTGCTCTAAGGTCTGTTACCATTCTCCATTTACCAGATTTTTTTTTTTATAACAAATACAGGAGAATTCCAAGGGCTGGTTGATTCTTCAATATGATGAGCATTTAACTCTTCTTCCACCAGCTCTTGTAAAGCCTGGAGTTTCTCTGTTGTTAAAGGCCATTGCTGAACCCATACAGGCTTATCTGTTGACCATTTTAAAGGTAGAGCTGTTAGTGTTTTTGGAAGATTATCAGTTGTTGTGCCCTGTTCTTGTATGACATGGATGGCTGGTGAGCACTCATTAGAATAATACCTTTTAATATTTCTCTCAGAAACATGTACTAATTTATGATTTGTTTCTGAGATTGGAGGGATATTAATCTGAGTATTCCATTGTTGTAACAAGTCTCGACCCCACAGGTTCATAGCTATGTTAGCCATATATGGTTTTAATTTTCCTTTCTGTCCTTCTGGACCTATACATTCAAGCCATCTTGCACTTTGTTTCACTCTAGATAATGTCCCAATTCCTAAGAGTTGAATGTTTACCTCCTGAAGAGGCCAAGTTGGATGCCAAAATTCTGGTGCAATTATGGTAGTGTCAGCACCTGTGTCTACCAAACCAGACAACAAAACACCATTTATTTTTATTGTTAGTTTTGGTCTTTGTTCATTAATAGAAGTTTGCCAAAAAATTTTCTTTATGTTTTTTCCTGTATTTCCTATTTTCTCTGTTTCATCATCTCGACTAACATGATTTATTCCAATAGACATTTGGTTATTTAGTTGCTTTGAGTAGGGGTTTCCTCTACAACTGCAGGAAAGGTTTGAACTGGATTTACTGTGGGGGCCTGCCTGAGGCCCCTCTGGGACTTTCCCGAAGCTCGAGGCAGAGGGTTACCCTGTCTGTCCCTTGTTGATCTACATTCGTTGGTCCAGTGTTTTCCCTTACCACACCTTCTGCATACTCCAGAAGGAAGGGGCATTCTGTTGCCAGTGTTCCTTGAATAAACATTATTTCTAGGAATGACCTGTTTACAATCCCTTTTCAAATGTCCTTGCTTTCCACATCCAAAACATCTAACATTGCTCAAACCTTTTGAAATTGCTTTTCCTACCCACATATCATCATGGTCATAAGCCTCTACATTAACTGTATGTCTAATCCAATCTTCCAAAGGTGCAGATCTTGCCTTTAACGGCCTGATTATTCTTTTGCACGCTGCATTTGCATTCTCAAAGGCTAAAGATTCAATTATTATCTGACTAGCCTGTGAATTCGGGACCATTTTTTGTACTGCTGAAGTCAATCTTTGTAAGAAATCTGTGAAAGATTCTTTGGGGCCCTGTATAACCTTTGTAAATGACTCAGTCTTTTTTCCTGGTTCTTCAACTCTGTCCCATGCATTCAAAGCTGCCGTTCGACATAGAACTAGGGTTTGGACATCATATGAACATTGTGTTTGTACTGAAGCATATTGGCCTTCTCCAATAAGCTGATCCTGGCAGACTTGTATTCCGCTATCCCTCCATTGTCTTTCTATGTTTTTAGCCTCATTACTGAACCACATTTTCCACTGGAGATTTTGTCCAGGTTCAAGAACAGCCTGTGCCAATTCCCGCCAGTCCTTTGGTAGAATCTTATTACAAGTTGACCAGGTGTTTAACATTTGCTTTACATATGGGGAGTGCATGCCATAAGATGCTATTGCCTCCTTAAATCTTCGTAAGTCTAACATTTCAACTGGAACCCGAGTATTTTGTTCATTCTCTTCATCAGGTAGCTGCTGTACGGCTACTGGATAAATTAAGGGTGATTGTGTGAAAACTGGCTTTCTTTCTGTAACCTTATGATCCAATTTTGAAACAACTTCACTATTTATTTCTTCTGTCTGAATTTGAATTTCTCTATAATTCATTTTTACCGGTTTAACAAGTTTTTCTAAGACTGTTATCCTGGCACTTAAGTTGACGATCTTTTTAAATAGTAAAATGAGGATAAGAAAAGTAATAAACTGAATAATTCATTCAATATTAATCTTTTCATATAGTTGTTCCATTGTCAGAGTGCCTAAAATTTCAAACAAAGCCCAATTTTCTTCCAATGTACACATAAAGCCCATTTTTTTTAATGTAGAAAAAAATTCTCTTTTAAATAGATATGTTAATTGACTTACCAAGTCTGGGTAGAACAGTAGAATCCCAGGGAATTTCACAGCCACCTGGTGTTCGAGGTGTGAATCCAGTGAGAGAGAGAGAGAGAGAGAGAGAGAGAGAGAGAGAGAGAGAGAGAGAGAGAGAGAAGCGTAGCCGCTTGAGCCGAGTCAAGCCTTGGCTTTACAGGCAGGGGCCCTGTTCGGCAGGGCAGGCCTGAGTTGTTTGTAGCAGTTGCAAGTAGCTCCAGCTGCGGGTCAGTCAGGCCTGGGCCCAAGCTAGGCAGCCGGGCCGCCCAGGCCGAAAACCGGACCTGCCGCGAAGCCAAGCCAAGTGGTTTTTAATGAATTCTTGTCATGTTGGGCGCCAAATGTAGATGTATCCAACCTTCTTATTAAATAAGAAACACAGAACCAATGCAAAGAAGAAAACCAAGAGGTCAGAGCTAAGAGCTAAAACCTTACCCTTCCTCCTGCGGTGGTCCTACCTCTCCGAACCAGAGCTACCCCTGTGTTAAAGTCTTTATATAGAGTTCCTGTCCTGCCTTCTCATTGGCTGTAAACCCAACCACATGACCGCCTCCTCACAGCCTGTCTGTATAGGCCTCCAGGTTTTCCATGATTGGTATTAAGATTAAAGGCATGTGTATCCAATAATGGCTGTATCCCTGAACACACAGAGACTTACCCAGCTCTGCCTACCAAGTGCTGGAATTACAAGCGTACGCTACCACTGCCCTGGTTTCCTATGGCTTGCTAATAGCTCTGACCCCCGGGCAACTTTATTTATTAACATACAAATAACATTTTAATACAAATAAAATATCACCATCAGCCTTTGGTCTTTTTTAAACTGGTACCCTCCTTCAGCCTTTCTTTCTCCTATAGTATATTCGTGAGTTTGAAGGATAAAGCCTTTTCCTCTCTCCTCTGGAAAAAAATAATAGTTCTCATTTGCTGTTCATTTGGCATTTCCTCAGGCTTGGATCTAGCTTATGAATTCTGATGTTAATAATGTTTTTCCTCACATCAAGAGGCATGCAGTGTCCACAGCTTTCCTGATTTTTCAATGTTAATTCTGTTTACCTAATCAAGGTACTACGGGTTTTCTCTCTAGTATCGTTCTTATTTTTCCTCATAGTGCTTGAGAACATACTTTAGGATCATTCAAATAATCTCCTCTTCAAAACTGCATCTATTAAACAGTTTGTGAGAAGACAACATAAGACCATGTAAATGTACTTCTCTTCAAAGTTTATTCTTTAGATTTTGCATACATTGATGATTCTTCTCTGAGCCAGTTTTTTTCTATGATGATTTTTTTTCAACTCTCTAGCCCTTTCTCCACATTAACTATTTGGTAGTTGGCATTTTATTTTGAACAAGATTCTTCTCTTCTTCCTATTTATTTATGCATCATTAACTGGTATTGATTCATACCCCCCCAACAACCTCTCAATGTTTTATAATTAATTATTTTTAGAATTTATCTTTAATTATGTGTATGTTCAAATGAGTACTAGTATCCACAGAGGCCAGAGGTGTTAGGTTCTCATGAAACTGAAGTTACAGGCTATTGTGAGCTGCCAATGTGTGTGCTGGGGCTTGAACTCTGGGCCTCAGGATTACACGCTGCTGAGCCATCTCTCCAGCCCCTGATTGTTTTCATTAATTAATTGGTTACTTAATTGTTCTAAATATGGCTAATGGAAGTCCCTTCAAGCTGATTCCCTGTCCTTTTGGTGGGTCACTATCATTTTTTTGCAGTACTTCACTGCCCTGGACTTGGATGCATATTAATTTTGGTTAGACATTGTGGAGATATATTGTTTTTAATCTAAGAAATAAAACTTGCCTGAAGATCAGAGGACAGAACCAGCCAGACAGTTAGCCACAGAGGCCAGGCAGTGGTGGCACACACCTTTAATCCTAGCACTCGGGGCAGAGATCCGTCTGGATCTCTGTGTGTTCAAAGCCACCCTGGACTACATGAGATTAATCCAGTCTAAAAGAGAAACAGAGCCAGGCAGTGGTGGCATACACCTTTAATCCCCGTATTTGAGAGTCACACGCCTTTAATCCCAGCACTAGGAAAGTTGAGACAGGAAGTGATGGGGTGGGTAGAAAAAGGAATATAAGGCAGGAGGAGACAGGAATTCGGTGCCCTTTCGCTGAGGACTCCGGGGCGTTCAGTCTGAGGATTCGTGGAGATAGGATGCTCTCTTTCAGGCTAAGAAGTTGGTGAGGTAAGAAGTAGTGGCTGTTTCTTGCTCTGCTTCTCTGATTTTTCAGCTTTCATCTTGATATCTATCTGACTCTGGGTTTTTATTATAAGACCATTTAGGATTCGTGCAACAAGACATTTTCTCCAAAAACTTAATGCCTTTTGTGAAACAGTATGTATCAACAAAGCTTGTTTTATTTTTAATTCTTAGAAGTAACATGCTGTTGTGGATATAGAGCTGGAAGCTAACAGAATTGTCTTTTCAGGTTTCTAGGTGTTCCTAGATGATGTTCTTTGGTAAAATGAGGATCATACAAATTAAAGACCTGTCTTATGTATGACATGATGACTGTGTGTTTGGGATAGTGTCTTTTGATCTCCTTCATCTAAGATGGGTCTTTAAATATTACCACGGTCTACAGTTCTTCAAAATAATGAATGTGGATATATAGCATAATTTAAGTATTTGATAATAATTAGCAAATAGAAGTTTACTTCAAAAATGAATCTACAGAGTTTTAACTTTTTGTGTTTCAGAAACATTAATCTTGGGAGCTCTGTCTTTAAAACATACTTATGAATTAAATGTTTTTCTTCTTAGAAAATAAGACCTACTCATCTGTGAGAACAGAAGCTTTATCTGTGGTAGAATTACTGCTTAAAAAACTTGAAGGTGAGTTGTTCTGATTAGAGCACCAAAAATCTAGGATATTTCATGGCATACACTTTAGAAATTTTTTATTTCTGTTTTTACTGATGGTATAAATACACATTAATGTATGTGCACATACAAGTAGACTATACAGAACTAAAGTCAAGAAATTTTAAAGATTTCAGTTTTGTTCTCTATGTTCATATATTTCTAATGAATTATTAAGCTATAGTTATCTTGAAGTAATTGAAGTAATTAAGTTTTGTTTCCATCATGAACTCTTGCGAATCTTAGTTAATCTCAAGAAGTGGTTATGGACAGAGCAGAGCTTGTGGTGTGCATGTAAATAACAGGACACAGGAAGAGCTGCAGGCTGTTTGATCCAAGACCCACTTGAGTCACATATTCCCAAAAGCATGTTTTAGTCCTTCATTTCTTTCTCTTTCTCCTTTAAGAAACCTGTAGATTCTGTGTTGTGCCAATGGTAGAAGAAAAACAGCTTCTCTCCCCCTCCCCCATGCTATAGAACTGTCTCTGGTTTCAAAGAGAGACCCATTTTCCCTTCTTCCTTCACTTCCTTCTCTTTTGGCTGTTCTCCTAGTCCATGAGTTAATGTGCAGAAATGAAACCGTTTTCACCACAGCCTTGTGAACTTGGCGTTTGTACTTCCCCTCTTTTTTTCTTAGCAGCATATCCTAGGTCTCTGCAAAATGGGCCCTGTAGACTCAGTGATACTAAGTATTGCATGGTGTACTTTTTTTTCTTAAAATAAAAAGGCGTAGGCACTTAGCCATATGGTTGAATTCCCATTTTTCCAGGTAGATACTAATATGGTCTAGATAACAAAAGTGAGGTAAAATAACTTGCTTGAAGCTGGACATGGTGGTATAGGCCTGTAATCCCAGCCTTGAGAGGTGAGACAAGAGGATCGGGAATCTAAGGCCAGCTTGAGCTACAGGAGACCCTGATATGACAATAATTACTTGCTTGAAGTCACATCACTAGAAAGTGACAGAGCATTATAAATGGAGTTACGATTTGCTGTGCTTTCTTATTTTTTAAAAATTTCAGTACTTACTTGGCTCTCCAGGGCTTTCTGTTAAGAAAGGAGTAATAAAGTGTTATCTACTTAAACTGTAAAATTATGAAACTTATCCATTTTTTGGCATGTAAATTACTAAATAGCCTCTGTTGTGGCTGAGATGCCTGTTTTGCTCCTGTGCTTGGATGCGTCATTCTTCCCACTCGGCTGTAGTGTAGCTCATCTCCCTGGGTCTCAGTCACACTGCGGAAGGAAGGGGTGAAGCTCCCCGACGTGCTCTCAGGCTGTTGGCGGGGTGGGTTTGAGACCCCTCTCCAGCCTGTGACTGTTCCGTGCTGTTCTCTTTATTAGAGAGTGGCTGTCTCATTGCTTGGGGGATAGGATGTATGGAAGAAAGGGTTAGGGGTTTTTTTTCTTTTTTCTCCTTGCTTGTTCTATAATGATTTTCTTTCTTTTTTTTCTTTTCATTCAGAAGCTAAACAGTGGGAAAGTTTGACAGCAGAATGCAGAAGACTCTTGGTTGAGTCTTTAGCTACTATGGAGACAGACAATAGACCCGAACTGCAGGAGAAAGCCTCAGTATTGAAGAAAACACTTGAAAGTCTGGAATGAGTGAGAATGGGAGGAAAGAAACAAGTGCCATGTTCTTTTGGGATTGGAAGTTTGGAAATGGTGGTGTTCTTTAAAAAACAAGTGGGGGGAGTAAAGATTACTCTGTAGCATGCATCATTCCTTGGCTGAAATAAAAAAAAAAAAAAGCCTTAAATTTTGCTTCTTACTAGCTTTATTTTACTTGTCTTTAAAGTATGTGGGCTAAGTGTGCTTAGTAGAACTTGGGTATTCAAAAGGTAGTTGTAAATAAGTCTGCCAGCCATTGTTGCTAAAAGAACTGAAACTATTATAAATGGAATACAGGGCAAAGCTGGATTAAAATCTTTGAACTACATCCAAGCTAAAGTTATTGCAGGAAGGGATCCTGTAAGTCACTTGATTTATAATCCACTTGCATACCCAAAGTAATAGGGTTGGGGATGACAGCTTCCTTCCTGAGGGCAGAGTCAAGGCCATACCCAGAGTTTAATGTCCTGTCCTAGATACTTTTCTCAACCTGCTACAAAACCAGTGTTACCTTGCCATACCCTAGAAATTCCCAAAGGGAGGTACATTTAGGGTCTCATACAACAGTTCTTATACCAGAGCTAAACTGACTCTTTATCACTGGGTTCTTGACAGTCAGATGCTGCACATTTCCTGTGTATAGGTAGTCAATTTTTAGGAAATGGTTGTTCAGCATGCTTACAGGTTGAGAATAATTGGGATTCCATAAAATTCTGATTGAAGTCTTTTCACTAGAAGATGAAAATAGATGGGAACAAGATTGTTCTTCTATCTGTATCTGTGATTATGTATTTTTTTAAAATCTAAACAACAGTAAAAGTTAGAGACTGCCTTGGTTTAGACCACTTAAAATCTCAAAACTGTAACGGTAACAACATTTTCTACTACTTACTGTCATGTGTACAGTGTGACGTGGTAGGATAGATGGAAAGCCTTTTATTTGACTGTCTAGGGATTTCTCTTTCTTAAATGCCCTTTCTCAAATTAGCATGATACCACTTCAGGAGAACTGCTGTTGCCGGGGTCCTCCCCTGCTTTCTGCTGCTCCTGCACCTGCTAAAGGGTGCAAAGTTGGTTTAACTTAAAGGTTTATGGTAAGCTAAAAACTCTAGCTTGTCTTGGGTTCTGGAGCACAAAATGAATTTATACATTTGGTACTGTCCCCTTAATGACATCAACACCTGGAATCTCTGTGTTCGATATTTTTGGTGGAAACTCAATGTTTATTAGTTTGGTATTCTCCAGACCAGTGTATTTAAAATATTTTTAACTGTGACTCACAATAAAAATAACCTTTTACATCATGACCCAGAATGTGTGTGTGTGTGTGTGTGTGTGTGTGTGTGTGTGTGTGTGTGTATGTATGTGTGTGTGTGTGTGTGTGTGTTATGTATGTATGTTTGAATGTAAAATCTTTAACTGAAATAAATATTTCTTGAAGAAATAGTTAAGTTTGATATATTTTCATCTCTCTGTGTGTCTCTTGTTGTAAATGTTCTTCAGACTCACTACATTTGTTTCCTAATTCACAACTAGGTTGCTATTCACGTTTGAACAATGCTGTCATTGATCGTACCTGAACTACTTTGTTTGGGAATGTTTCTGAATGAAAACTGTTTACAACTAAAATATTCAGTGCTCAGTATCATCTTTGCTGATACTGTACTGTACTAGTGAGTTTGCAGAACATCGTGAATTTTAAGGAATCTAATGTGGAATTGCATTTAAGAAAGACTTTTGCTGTAGAGAAAAAACAAATGGCTTCAGATGTTCTTCAGAAAGCTGTGGCCTCTCAGGTCTTGGTGTTTGGGGATCAGCACTGAATGACTAAGGACCTATCTGACTTTCATTTGTAGTACCCAGGGTACTTCCTTGGCAAGAATACAATGCAGGTCAGGTGTGTTGAAGGTGAGAGTGTAAGGGCAAGAATGACATACTTGGTCTGTAGCAAACATTGAAACCTCATCAAATTTTATGCTTTTAAAGCTTTTTGTTATTTAATATTGGGGATTTCCCTTGGTGCTGAGAGTGGTGCTAAGACACCTGAACCTTAGTGCTATTGAACTGCATTTCCTTTACTTTCTTGAGCACATTTCTAATTTATATACTTAATGCCTTCATGTTTGCTAGTCAAATTATTTTCACAGCTAGTAATATTGTTACTGTTTCAAATGTAGTTTGTAGTTGGTATACATATGTTTACTTTCAAAGGTTAATAACCAGGATTTTGTAATTGTGAAATGTTGGGACTGGTGAACAGGCGATAAAAGTACCTGTACATTCATTCATAGATCATCAGTCTTTGTTTGCAAAAGCAATCTTGAACAGGTTTGGTTTTTCTCTATATAGTTACTTCTATTTGCCACACAGATAACTAATTTGTAAAACCTGTTTCCTATTCCTGCCATTAGTTCACTAACTATATCTTTATTGATATGTGAAAAGGAGATGTTTGAAATGTGGCAGTTGGATTAAACATGAAAATGGGCTACGGTTTTGGTAGTCAAAAGCAGCTGTTTCATTGAATGTTTGTGCCCAATTTACAGTTCCTGGGGGATCTTGTCTATAACATAGTCCACCTTTATAAGGGGACTACCAAATCCCCATTGCTTTGCCCTTCCTTTTTAAAAACTCATGTATTATTAACAAGAAAAAGAATAAAAATATGACCTCACTGGTTGGTGTTCTATCAGCAGTTGTGCTGTGTGAACACTGCCTGCCCTTGGGAACATTTCTACCTGCTGCTGTCACAGTATATTCATGCTGCTTGTTAAGTTCAGGGAGTTATTTTGACATTGGCACTACTGAACTGTGCAATCTGTCATTAAATGGATGTATATGTAACAGATTTTTGTATTTTATATGCAACTTCTTCATAGATCTGCAATATGTACTTAGCTGCCTAAGCATGAAATAGACTTACTTGAAAGGAAAACTTCACCTATACCCCAAAGATATTAAATGGTAAATAAAAGCTGCATGACTTGGTGTTTTGAAGTAGTGCTTTTAGTTTTTACTAGTTCTGTTGGAAAGTAATCTGACTGCTAACACTTTGATTAGTTGTTCTTTAGGAAGGAAGGGAGGGAGGGAGGAGAGAGGCCTTACTGCCTGGCATCTTCTCAGCTATGTAATTAATATAAATTTCTGATTTAAGTATCTGGGAGTTCCAAGACATCATGAACTGCTGCTGCCACATACTTGGAAGAAACTTGGTTCCATGATAGAATTTTCTGATAAAAGTGACTTTATGTGAGCATGTAGAAACAGAAGGCAGCTGGGATTAAAGCAGTTGCTTACTCCCAGGTGAGCGCTTACCTGCCTGGGCTGTTACAAAGCCTTTAGTAGTTTTGTCATAGTCACTTCAAATTGAGAAAGAATGTTGCAAAACATGGAAATAACCAATCTTTCAAATGATGTTTATGGAAAGATTCAGTAGTTTCTTTACCTTTAAAAATGGTATTGTGGGGGTAAGATGGTAGATGAAATGTTTCTCCAGATGACTCTTCATGAGAAGAGTCAATAGTAAAGGAGAAGCTAGGATGTTCTGAGGAAAGGAAGATGATCATCAGGAATAATGACAGATGGAAAGCATGGGAAATCTGGAATGTGGTGAAGAAAATAAACAGCTCACAACTCCAGCCCTGACTCCCTTGCCTGGGAGGGGGACCTGAAGTCACAACTAGATGGTAAGTCAGGCAGCCCTAATCATGGGAGATTGACAGCCCTGTAGGAGATGCCCATAGTCGTTTGAAGACCTTCAGTACAGTCTGACAGTGACTCCTGCACTGCAGGCTAGCTAAGAGAAGAAATCCATTTATGTATTGTTCTTTACATCTCAGATTGCTATGTAGCCAGGCACCTTTACCTTGAGAGGGAGCCTATTTGAGATAGAGTGACTTTTGGTTCTGGTGGATGACTAGGGTTCCACAGCCTTTTCCCTACCACAAGATAATTGAGAGCTAGGTAAGGTAATCCCAGCAAAGAACCATCAGGGAGTATTTAGAACACTTAAATTGGGAGATCCAGAGAAAGTGAATAAACATTTAGACACGTGAGCTGTCAAAAATCAACTGTAGGGTAAAAACAAACCAACCAGTGAAATTGAAGTGATAATAGAGTCCTGACAAACAATGGCCCAGGACTAGATGGATTAACAACTTAATTGTGCCAACACTCAAACTGTTCCATAAAAATTGAAAAGGAATGTGTTCCTACTGATTCTATAAATCTGGTATTGCTTTGATAGCAAAATCAGTAATGAACACAAGAAAAACTTAGGCAGTTTTCTTAATAGTGATGCAAAGATTCTTAATACTGTAAATCAAATCTAACAACACATAATTAAGATCATATACCAACATGTTGGTTTCATCTCAGTATGTAAAGGTGATACATTAAGGGCAAATCAATAAATAGAATATAGCATATAAGTAAAATACAAAAATCACATGTCACTAGATGAAGAAAATGCTTTTGACAAAATCCAACATCTCTTCATAATAAAAGCCTCAAAGAAACTAAGAATAGAAGGATTTGTACCTTAATGTAATAAAGGCTATGTATACAAAGTCATGTAGCTGACAGTATACAAAATGGGAAGTGCCGAAAACATCTCTAAAAATCAGGGATGACACAGTGTGCCCCACCACTATAATACTTGAGTTCTTGGCCACAGCCTTAGGCAGGGGAAAGGAGTAAAAGTATACAAGTCGGAAAGGAAGATGTAGATGATATTACTACTGGGGAAATTGTGTTGCTTCAGGAATCTTAAAGAACTAAGAACAGTTTCGGAAAAGTCCCAGGACAATTTTAATAGAGTTTAAGAGAAAAATCTCAGGGCAGGAAAGTAAATCTCTGGAGCTTTCAGGAGGAGGAAAATGAAGAAAAGACAAAGATCTTTTTGAGTTAAGCAAACTGGGCAAAAAGTAGTCACGTGCAAATTGGCGGGTGTGGGGAGGGGTAGGTTAGATAGGACCAAGTTCGAAGTGTCAGGGAAAGTATGCATGGGAAAATGATACTTCTGATTAATTCAGAAAAGCAGGCAGACTTAGGAAGATGCGTGGCTATGGCTCTAGGCAAGCTGCACCGAGGGTGGACTCTGGGGAGGGAAATCATCAAAGGGATAACAGTTCTTCCTGTCTCTTCTACATAGTTTAAGGTGAAGCTGCCTTCCTGGGGAACAGTCCCCAGTCAGACTGGCTGAACCAGAATGATAGGTCTTCTCTCAGAGATGCCGTTCTCTTGACCAAAAGTAAAGCTTTCTATTGAGGAGCCTTTAATACTGCAATATCACCCCTCTAAAGAGATAACCCAAAATCATTTAGGAAATGCGCTGAAGTTGGGGAATGGATATAACTCATTTTTACCAAGAAAATTAAAAGATTCAGTCCTAAAGCTCTTCACTAGAAGTGATTAGTGCCTGGACTGAGTTTCGGTTCCTCACAGCAGCCTCCAGGCAGAGGTGTTCATTTAGGAGGTAAGAAACCTGATAGTCCTGGCCAGAGGACCAAGGACATGGCTGGAACTGCTGCTTTTGGGGTTCCTGCTCTGAAGTGCCTGTTGAGTTCCTGTCTTCTGTGTCTGTTTGTTTTACTTAGAAGACCCTAAAGACTCCACAGAAAACTCTTAGAACATACAAATACCTTCAGCAAAGTAGCATGGTACAAAGATCAGCATAGCTTCCCTTATATACCAATAATGAACATGCTAAACAAGAACTCAGGAAAACAGTTACACTCAATAACAAAACCCAACAACAACAACAACAAAAAACAAAGACAAAACTAAGAAACCTAGTAAGAGATTATACAGTGAAAACTAAAGCCCTGAAGACTAGAAAATCCAGTGTTCATGGACTGGCAGAATGAAGTACATAAAAATGAGAATGTTATCAAGGGAATACAATTGTTCATAGGACTAGTCCTAACATGAAATAAGATCACCTCAAATAGCTAAAGCAATCTGAACAAAATGAGTAATGCTGAAATACTTGTTTTCATATTATACTAAAAGCCATGGAAAGTAGCATGATGCTAGCCTTGAAGCAGGTACATAGACCAGTGGACTAGAATGATGTCTGTTAGTTACACTTCTGGTTACAGATGGTGAGCTTGCCCATGTGTATGCGTGGGATGATTAGAGGAAGGAAAAGTTTTCTTAGCATCTTAATAGTTATAGGCATTATTTTTCCCTTATCAAAAATACAATGGTGCACACAAATGGATGTGTGATAAACTGGACTAGTCAATATTGACTGATAAGTTCAAAATAATTTATTAGAAATATCAACTTTCCTATTGGAATCAAATAATTTGTCTTCTATGGGTCTGCATTGCCATCAAATGGAAGCAGTGTTCTTGATATGCTTTTGGGTCTTAATTCTGATCCCAAATATTATGATGCTAATTTTTATGCAATTAAAACTATATTATTGTGAAACTCCAATAATTGAATGGGTACTTACTGCTTTGTGTATAAGGTGATGCAGTGCTTTTAGTTAAATGTTGAATTAACACAAAATGAGTTTTTTCTCAAATTTTATGTTTTTAAAGAACAAAGTAAAGGAAATAAAATGCCAAATAGAGTCCTAATGACTTAGTAAACTGAAAATGTTCGTGTTGACAGTTGACAAGAATCATCTTCTCATTTCTGAATTACTTCATTAGTAAAATTTAATTTTTCCTTCGTGTCTTAGGGTTTCTATTTCAGTGAAGAGACATCATGACCATGGCAACTCTTATAAAGAAAGCATTCAATTGGGATGGCTCAATTACAGTTTTAGAGGTTCAGTCCATTATTATCATGATGGGGAGCATGGCAGTGTGCAGGCAGATGTGGTGCTGGAGCTGAGAGTGCTGCATCTTGCAGGCAACAGGAAGTCAACTGAGACACTGGTCGATTTCCTGAGCATAGGAAACCTGAAAACCTGCCCCCACAGTGACATATTTCCTCTAACAATGCCATACCCACTCCAACAAAGGCACACTTCCTAATAGTGCCACTCCCTATGAGATTATGGGGGCTAATTGTATTCCAACTACCATACCTAGTTTGGTTCTTATTTCATTATGTATGCACTGATTCCATTTTACAAAGTATAGAATCCAGGATATTTATTTGCACTTGAAACTTCAGCTTGCTATTCTTTGGGTCTTTGTGTGTTGGATTGATTCTGGCTTACTTTTTTTCTACATTAATATATCTTTATAATTTGATCTTAATTATTTTTCCTCCTTCATTAAGTTTAGAAATAGAGTTTTGAAATGAAATATTCTTCTGGAGCAAAAAAAAAAAAATGCGAAGGAAGAAGAAAATCATTAAAAACATTTAGAATGTTTCTCAAGGAAGAATTGTTCCTTTGTGTCTTGGTACAGGGACTAACTGTCCAGAATTCACAGGCCATAAGACAAACCATAGTAAATGTAAGAGGATAAAATTATAGAGATGTTCTACAATTAATGAATTGAAAATGTTGCTGAATGACCAAATAAAGTTTAGGAGGTTAAAAGTATGTAGAAATTAAATATCTCACGTATTAGGTAACTGGTGAACCAAAGAAGAAATCACTACTGAGTTTAGAAAATTCTTTGAGTGAAAATAAAGACACAACATTGCCAAACTTAAGGTTTGCAGTTAAAGCAGTGCTAGAGGAAAATGATAGCTAAAATCACTACAATTTTTAGAAGTACAAATCTCAAATTAGTGCTGCAATCTTTCTTTTTACATACTAGGAAAACAAAAAATAACAAAACTACCTAAGTCCAAAGGAAATAAAAAGAAGAGCAAAGTTCTGAGCATAAGTAGATAAAATAGAAAGTAAAAGATGAGAAATAAGCCGGGCGGTGGTGGCGCACGCCTTTAATCCCAGCACTCGGGAGGCAGAGCCAGGCGGATCTCTGTGAGTTCGAGGCCAGCCTGGGCTACCAAGTGAGTTCCAGGAAAAGGCGCAAAGCTACACAGAGAAACCCTGTCTCGAAAAACCAAAAAAA